TCCTCCTGCATGCCGGAAGGGGCCAAAGCGCGGCCAATATGAGCCCAAGTGTTAGGCTACAGCGTAAGGATCATTATTGATAATAGCACCTGAGAGTTTATTGCAAAAACGCATGATCGCACCGGATAGCCTGGTGCGTTCCAGCCTGGGTTAATATCTTGTCAATATAAATTAGCAAAGGCGTAACGCATGTACACTCACATGTGCATATGCAAAAACGACAGCACAACGTTCACGTTCACTAAGAAGCGTAAACACACACACTCAACTCCTCAGCAATATGCGTTTTGCATTGCATAGATGCAGAAAATGCATAAAAACACACTAGCGCAGTAAGGGAAAAGGAAACGTCCGAAAAGAACTAAAAATTATTGTGATAGTCAATTATCACCGACGCTACCATCAATCATCCCGAATTAAACAAACACTTCCCACCCGCAATCCTCGCCTGTGAAAACTAGTTTGCTGCTGCCACGGCTATTGGTATCACAAGCAGCTACACCTCCGTCATACTTTTTAAGCAGACATCTTTCGTACCCAACAATTAACAAGTATGTTATCATCAGATATTGTAAAGGGAAACAAGTGAAAGTTAGTATGTACTCCTAGTATCACAGGTGAGGCGCCACAGCGACCACAGAGTGCAGATAATACGCGGATATTGTAAAAGGTGTTTGATAAGCAGTATCAACACAACCATAGTCTTTATTTGTAAGAGTAATTGTGTACGCTGCTGCTTACTCACAAATTTTTTATCTCAAAATTCTTGCGCATCTTCATCCTTTAGCGAAAATAACTGCATGAATTTTTTCAAAAAATGCCTTCGCAATTTTTTCACAAACTTTTCATGTTTCTTCTTCCAAAGCAACCACCGCCTTCGAGCATAAACATTTGCTCCCCGTGGTGCTGAACCATTCAGCGACTGCCGTGCACCACTTCCCAATCTACTGGGTAGCAACAACCTAGCTTTCTTTTGGATACGCTGCCAGAAACTGCTTCCGGAAGCGATGTGGTTGCACAACGTTTCATTGTGATGTCCTTTACGAAGGAAGCATAATGACTCAAAACGGCATTTTCCCTCGCATATAAAATTATCTTGGCGATTGCTGTTCCTGGAAGTACCACATGCTGTATTTGAGCCTTTAAAATCAGGTACGGAAAATAAATTTAAAATTAATAGTTGGCACTTTCATCGGATTAATTTATTACAGAATATGTTACAAATGAAAGCGAACGGACAATTGGACAATTTGTGAAAAGGCAACGCGCATACATTGAAAATGTGGCAGGTACTATCTAGAAGAATGCAGCCCAGGATCGAAAGGCTCGACCAACTCAACGGCCTGCTTGGCGTATGCAAGCATCCCAACGGCATCACCTAAACATAGGATACTCATACTGATCGTCGGGGCAATATGATATGTCTAGTGGGCGTGAAATGCTTCGAAATTAAGCGAAGCTGAAATGCCCTAAACCGAGAATGGAAAATACGTTGCTAACAAACGGTGCACTTAGTTGTAGAAGCAATAGCACTTGAACTTCGTGGTATAGTTTCCCAACAATGCAGCTGACAATTTTCCCATCTGTTATGACTAATATTGCTTTGTCTACTCATCAGCTTGCTGGCGGTGCTTTCTGAGGTTTTGTCATTTCAACGGTTCTCGTTGCGAAGGTGTGTGACTTATGCGGTGCATAAGAATATTATTTTTTTTCTGAGATTTGAGCTTGAGGTCATAAATCGGAAAGCGTGCGAACTGAAAACTTTATGTTATTAAGTCTCCCGCCATTGTACACCACTGAAAATTACTTCTTCAGAACATACATCAAACACAGAATACCTAGACATAGCCACGCAGACAGATTACGCCAACACAAATAGAACGTACCTGATGAATTTGTCGTAAGAATCCCTTTCGTATAAAATCTTATTGATGAGATGATCCCAGCTGGTAGGACTCAAAGTATCCATGCCGTATTCTTCCTAAAAAACCAGGTTTTTATGCACATTAGAGCTTTTCACAACGCATAACGAAAAAAGTAGAGATCTCTGCCAGTCTGGAAAAGTTCACTTAACAATTAAAACAATTTGCACAATCCTGGCAATTTTCACAACGGTTTCTTATTTATTGCTGCAATATGAGCTTGATACAAAATAGATTTGCTGCTTTTGTTTTTCGCCATTTCTTTTCAACGATGTCTTGTCCAATTTTAATATAGTATTTTCCAACCCACTGTTTCTTCTATAGAAGAAAAACAGGGAATCCATACATGCTGAGAAAAAATTAAAACACTTCAGGGTGTTCGCCAGTAATCTAAAGCACACAAGCACTGCTGTACTGCGGTTCCGGCCTGACACAAAGCAGAATTAACACCCAGGCTGGAACGCACCGGGCAGGCCGGTGCGATCATTCGTTTTTGCACAGGACTTGAAGTACTCAGGTCATTAACTGCATGAATGGTTGTTG